AATCTAGTCAAATTCTTCCTTGTTCTTTTAGAATTTTGTTGCTATTAAGTATTGATTTCTCTTTTTCAGACATTGCCCATGTTTGTGTTATGCTTTTTGTGAATAAGTTGCAGCAAGTACTGAATGCTTTTCTTGATGTTTGTGAGAACTGAATTCATATGATCACTTTAAGTGAGGCTAATGGAAAGGCATACATTGTTTTTTGTTTGTTTGTTTTTTTGACATGGGTATGGGACACATAAAGAAAGTGTTTTAATGCTTTTATCCCATTTGTCTCATCCAACTTGTTTGCTGTGACTAGAAATGGGAGTTTCACACAGCATTATAAAGGTTTGTACTTTTAAAAAAATCATAGACTATACATGTACACTCTGCAAATTGTCCTACAGAGAGATGGCTGCCCCCCCTGCTGTGGTCTCACCAGCACCTTTACTGCCGCAGTCCTGGAAGCCATTGAAAAGGGTCCTAGGGCTTTCTGGAGTCAGAGTTGGATAAGCAATATGGAAACCAATATGGGAATAGAGACGGAGATCCTTATGTCTTTTCCTAAAAGCCACAGGTTATTTAAAAAAAAAAAACCCAGGGCCAGGTGTAAAGTACCCCTTGGTGAGGCACGTTGAAGAGATAGCTCTCCAATAAGACCTGACACTCGTAGTTTCTCCCAGAACTAGACGATACACGCCATTGCTGAAAGTACCACGCCCCTTGACTCTAAGACAGAGACGAAGCGGGAGATGAACAGGAAGCCTGCCCCCTGCTGACTAGAGTCCATGGTGCCGAAAGACACTATGCAGACTGCTTGGGGAGAAAGGGCATCAACAGTTTCACTCAGCTGTCAGTCCTACAAACCACAATATCATCCTGTCAGAGAAGGTGTGCTTACTGAAGCAGGGGCACAACTGTTATAGGAGTAACCAAATGCTCTTTGAGTAGATATGAGGCTTGCCCCAGGAGGGAATCCTTGTCTGATAAAGTAAATGCAGTAAAAAAAAAAAAACAAACTTACTGTTGATGAAGTCTTCAGCCCTAGTGGGGAACTTATGTCTTCTTATTATCCTTCTTTCGTCTATCATAACATTAAAATGTCTTCTAAGTGTCTATGTTTATACTCATATACAAGTGCTAATCTCAGCCTTAATCAGAGATGCTTCTCTTTGAAATGAGTGATGGTAAATACAGAGATGCCTGAATGCTCAAGGTGCTTAGAGTGACAGCTGAAAGCTTAGCCTTAAACAGGACATTTATACAATTGTCTGAAAGGGTTATAGAACATGGCAGAAGAGGGGGCAGGAAAAAAATGTGAGAACAAGAAAACAGGAAGAAGGGCTGTGAAATGCTAGCTTCTGGCATGACACAACCAGCACAATCATGCTCTCACAGTAGCTTTGGCTACATACAATGGGGCTGTCAACAGTTACATGGGTTCAGTATGACTTAGAAAGGTTTTACCTCTCCCTCCTGAACCAGAACCACTGGTTACCGATGGACTCTGGGGGGAGGCGGGTACGGGGGGAGAAATCAGTTGCAGTTAGTTAGCTGCTGGTAAGTCCACTGGGCTCCAGTAGTTAGTTCCAAAGCCATCATCACACAGATGGCCCTGGTTAATTTCAGTGAGTTACAAAACAAAACACACTAAAGGGGAGAAGGAACTTGTAGACAAAAGGAGGTATAAAAGGCTAGGTGGGAGTTCAGAGAGGTGGGGTTAACAATAATCCGGATATACTATGTACATGTATAAAATTGTCAAAAAAATAAAAGTTTTTTTTTAAAAAACCTTGCTTGCTAGCCTGTGAATAATTCCATTATTGTCTCTTCATATTTATGCCCACTAAGCTATAGAAAAAAGTATCCAATCCCAGCAGACTATGAAGGCTTCTCATATTCTTTGAAAGAGTGGGATAAGCTTATGAATGAGAAATGCAAGCAAAGTATGCAGTAGAAAATGGCTTGATACTAAACTTGAGGTGCAAGGTGAGGCCAGCATGAAGCAAAGCTGTGAGACGAAGTCATAGCACTTCTTGAAGACTATTCCAGAAGTCATAGAACGAGAAGGTAATTTTCCCATCCCTGTACATCTTTATGCGACATCTCACAGACAACTGTGTCCTTGCATTCCAAGTAGTGGATGTGCACATCTGTTTTGGTTCTTGGAGTTCACATCTTGTTTCTCTGATGTAATTTATATTTAGTTTCCACAAGTAAGTGCATGGAAATCCTGCTACTGAAACTATCCTCATCATTTAAATGGATATAACTGCAAACCGGGGTTAACAGTGCTGTTAAGTTGAAAGAGGAAAGTATTTCTTTCTATGTTGCTGTGTATGTGATTGCAATATGAATTACCTTTTCCTACAAAAGCACACATTTCCTTGATTGTGAAGACATCTTGGGTATGGGGAGTAAACAGTATTCTGGAGAATTCAGAAGTTTGTTGGCCCTTGAGGTTTCTAGAACCAAACAATTGCAGTTGCTTCTAGATGGTGTCATTTTATTGAGGTGTAATAATCTTGATTTTTTCCCCCTCAATTTTTAAATTAGGGAGACCCAATGGTGGGGAGGGGAGGGCAGGCTTTATGAGTCATTCCCACCATCTCCCAGTAGAAAAGAGTCTAAAGGTTCCTGCTCTTGCCGTGTGCCCTCGGAGATGACTGGTTCGCTGGTGAGTCACCATTCCATTTCATGTGAGGACCTCAGTGCTCTCACTGTTTGATTCCCTTGGGGGTCATGTTCTCTGCTTAAAAGAATATTGGCAGTTCTTTGAGCTAATGATTTGTTTGGAGGATGGAAGTCTCTGCGGTGCCAATTGCACAGCTTCATAATATAGCTTTCTGATCTTTGATCTATCTGTTTTCTTTTTTTCCCCCTGAATACATGGGACCCTCAATCCAAGATTAAAGATGCCTCATGCTACAAGGAAGGTGGAAGTTGAAAACTTAAAAGCTGCTCAGATTTCTAAATACTATTTTTGTACTTTTTCATTTTGTCAACATCATGTTTGGTGGGTACCATCCTTCATTCATGTGATAATTGGATGGTAACCCAAATAGTGTGACATCGTAGGCTTCCCAAGGATGCATTGAATACAAGCTTAAAATGTGCTCAGTGCAAACTAGTTGTGGTCGGGCTTACAGACTCATCTTGAATTCTATTTGATTTAAACATTTACTTGCCACCTTGTAGATGCCAAATATCACATCTTCCTTCCTAGAAAATACCAAGAGTTCAGAATGTGTGTTTAAGAGACCCATGCTCTTAACTGAGCAGTTAAAGTGATTAAAAAAAATGGTCATGGTAGAAAATGAAATGAAATGGTGTGCAAGAAATGAATGACAGCCAGTGAGATCAGAGAAGAGAGCATTTTTAAGTGGAAGGGGCCTCTGGTGTCCCAGTCTAAGGACCTGGTTCAATTTAGCTAGTAGGAAGTGATCATTAGGAGTTCGGTGTGGAGGGGGGGGTGGAGGGGTGGAGGGTATGTAGGGGAACAGTCAGGAAAGCACCTGTTCAGAAAGTTCGAGAGGCCTTAAACCAGAATGCAGTGAGCCTGTGAGGAGTCCTAAGCAGAGTAAAAATGGAGTGTCTTAAGGCAGATTCCAGTGTGCTTTGAACTAAAAATACCTGGAATGCAAACCATCATGTGTTTGATAATTGCCTATAGGCTTTATTTCCAAGAAGAAAATCTCCTCGTCACAGTATGAAATGTGTCAGCAGAATGAGAACTTGGTGCTTACTCATACTTGCCTGAACGGTTATTAATTTTTACTTCTACAGGGAAGTAGTTCATCCCTGCACAGAGCTCTGTGTCACTTGAGATAAAGCAGTGAGGAAGGCCACCCCCGCCCCACGCAGATAGATGAGTCAGTGTCTGAATCACACGGGGTATGGATGACTTGCTTATGCTCCCAATTCCTTCAGAAGAAAACATAACCTTTCAAACAACGAAGGAGCCCCAAATGAGGAGGTAGGAATGAACAAAAGCAGAAGATCGTTCAAAAGCTGAGAACGAGGCACTGACAGACGTGCCTTTTCTGGCTTCTCCCAAGAGAATGATTTGTTTTTTTCACAGTATGATTGGGATGGTAAGAGTTTATTCAAGACAGACCTGAGACTCTGAGCTGCTCAACTTACCCCCTGCAGACTGAACCTTTATCAGTGTAAGATGACTAACATGGATCATTACCCCTGGCTTAGTTCCTGATATTCTGGGCAGAAAACACAAAAATCTAAGATGCAGGTAACTGCAAGCTGTGGAATGAACTCTCAAGAATCTGCCACTGAGATGAGAAAGTTTGGTATTCATGCTGAGCATGATGGCTCACTGGGTAAAGGTGCTTGCCACCAAGCTTGACGACCTGACTTTCACTCCTAGAGTCTAATGAAGCTAACATACAAAGCTGACCCTTACACTCACACTAATTGTTTATAATAAAATGATTTAACTATTCATAGGGAATAGTATGAAGAGACATTGCTATAAAATATTTTCCAAACTCAAGATAAAAAAATAACATTAAGTACTATCAGTAAAGTACATCATCTATACCAGTGTGTCTCTACACTTGCTCTCGTCTGTGTGCCGGATGACAAGAGAGAATTAAAAAGCGAAAGTATGAGCTGGAGAGATGGCTCAGCTGTTAAAGTCTAGGCTCACAACTAAAAATACAAGGATTAAAAAGCATAAGTTGATTTCACAGGCCTTGCTCCTTTTTGTAAATTATTTCTTATGATTGGTCAGTACATAGTGTGGCCTTTTAGATTACTAGGAAGTGCCAGCTAAAGAATGGCGAATTATTAGTAGAACAGATCACACCCACTATTTAATGCTTCTCTTAAACATTGCTAGTATGATACGGCAGGAGAGTACAGCCAACTTCTAACACAGTAATGAATGAATAACAGCAAAATTATCAAGTAAATTCAAGTCCCAATGTGGGAACAATCCTTTCCAACAGAAATATCTTGACTACTAAGGATGATACAAAATCTAAAAACCAAAGCCTTACCCAGAATCGGGTCATATTTTACTTGAGTTCTGCTCTCCTTCCAGGACAGCAGGCAGTTGAGGCTGTCCATATCTGCAGATTCGATGTAACTCTTCATAGTGAACATTATCTGGTGGGCTCTGGCTATCCCATAATGCACTTTGGTTTCATCCATCAGTGCTGTTTTCATGAGATCCATGGTGGTACTGAAGGCTTGCTGGAAGTACTCGGAAGCCTTGCTGTATTGCCCCTATTGAGAAAGAACATTTTTTTTATTTCTTACCTCACTCATTTCACAGATTTGCTTATCTCACCTCGACATACCCATTTTTGAAGAGAAAGAGCTGGAAAAGTGGCTTTTCAACAGAAAGGATTGTCTTCCATGAGCAGTGGTGCCTTGATGGTCAGAATCCTGGAATTAATTGGGTTATAAAACTGTGTCTATAGTTGAAACGCACAAAGGGCACAGCAGCAGGAGGAAGTTGGGGGGAAGTGAACCACTTGCCACCAATTTCACCACAAGTTTACTAATTATAGTACTGTATTTATCCAGTACTTAACCATCTTTTGTTTTCATTTGTAGCAGGAGGACATTTGATGTAAAGTTAGTGATGACAATGGATAGATGCCTATCTCTGCTGATTCTGGTCATTGCTTCTCTTTTCTTAGACGCACCTCCATCATTTAGGTAAGAACATGGGAGAATCTAGATTTAAAATATGTTATTGCAATGTGGCTAGAACAAAGAAAAGATGAGAGGGGTTGAGAAAGACACATGACTTCAACCCCTGGCCTCCTACATGCACGTGTAGACATACACGTGTATCCACATAGCTGGCTTGCTACATGTGAACATTCATTCAACAGAGAAAAAAATAGAGAGATATTTAAAACATGGTTGAACATTCCTTTCAAAAGACACTATCACAGGAGAGAATATTTTGCAATAAAATTTTAAGCCATATCCCCATACTCTGTGAAAGAAATGGATATTCAAAACACCAGCACAGATCAACTCCATAGCCCTCTGTACAATGGAGGAGTCTGATGGGTGATCAAAATGATTGAGTAAGAAGATCCCAGACAGCGTGATACACACAGCACATAACACTGAAGTCCTGTGTCCATAGGGCAGTCTGTATGCACTCCCTATTCAAACTTCTACCAAATTTGCTAGTTGATGTATTGTGTATTGTGTAAGTAATAATTATTTGTTTTTGTAAGCAATTCATTCTTTTTATCATAAAATGAGATTTATAATGAGAATAGATTATTTGATTAAAACCATGTAAAAGGTGGCATTTGTGTCCCAATTATATATAATCAAGAACAATGACAAATATCAAAGATGATGAAAGTACATATTATTTTTATAGATACCAATAATAAAGAACAACTTGGCTAAGGGTAGCCTTAAAAGAAACAAACAAACAAACAGAAATTGAAGCATATAATTGCTCCTGTTATATTTCTGAGATTTAGGCTGTTTATAGATTTAGGTTGAGAGTTTGAATGTGGCAAGTCAAGGGCTATAAATAAATGGCACATAAACTTCCAGGATTATTTAAAGACACCTGTTAAAATGAACTTGTGCATTTATCTACTTAGTCATGGGCAACCACCATGTGTGAGGTTGCGTGGCACCAGGGACACTGGGCAACAGAAGAAAAGATAGGCAGCTTGTTTTCAGAGGACACAGGAATGCCTGAAGTGGTGACAGGCCTTATGTAACCCAAGCGCCTTTCTTTCTAAGACAGGGAAATCATTAGGTGATTGGCTCCACTCAGACTGTGCCTTGTATCCCATCTATGTACAAACAGCTGTCATAAACTACTGCCAATGAAAAATTCTCTAAAACATTGTCAAGTAAACACAATAACCATTCTTTTCAGATGCTACCATTTTTTTTAAACATACCTTTTGGGAATGAGTTTTCCTTAGTGTCTATTTTAGTTCCACATTCTTAATTCTTTTTTTTTTAAAAGCTTACTACATAAATGTAATCTTTTCTAAAATTCTGTATAATCTTCTAAAGTTCATCTTTATTCTAAAGTCATCTCTATTATAAATTTCTAATGATTCTACAAAATCTTAAATATAAGCATGAGATTGTGCAGCAAATTATAAATGATTTAATCCTCCATCCATGATAAGGTAACCCCAACCAGTGCTCTGAAATCTGTGACAGTTCTAGGGTAAGATTTCAGTGACATCACAGACAAAGCTGGCAACAGAATTTTCATGTGTATTCTGTTTCTTACAGATCTAATAAGCAAACCAAAAAATAAATGGGTATTTTCTAAGGGTAAGTCATTGTGTGTGTGTGTGTGTGTGTGTGTGTGTGTGATGTGCTTATGTGTGAGTGTGGGCTTACACATGCCATGGCACACTTGTGAAGGTCAGAGAACAAGTTTCAAGAATCAATTTTCTTCTTCCACCATGGGTTTGGTGGATTGAACCCAAGTCATCAGGCTTGAGCAGCAAATGCTTTGACCCAATGAGCCTCTCACTGGCCCTTTTCTGTTATTTTGACTGATTATTTGATTTTATTAAGGAATCAGAAATCTCATAAAGGGCAGAGACTCTCATTTGGACAATTAGTAATTATATATCATCAATTAACATTCTGTTAAAAGATCACAGCTAGAGAGCAGCATGGGAGGCCCATTGTCCTGGATTTATAATAAAAGGTTAACTAAGCCCTGGGTTGGCCCCTGCTCCTGCTCCTCCTGTCTCTGGTCTCCATCGAGAGCACCCTTGTAGCTCTGATACAACTCCATCCATCCCCACCGCCAGCCTACCCCCCCTACCCTGTGCCCTACCCTACCCACGGTCCTGCCGCTCTGGTTGAGCACTGGGACAGATGGTGGAGCCAACAGTCCACCCTACTTCGGAGACTTCTCAGAGCAACTCTGAACAAAGGAGACCTGACTATCCACGCGGGACCACCTGTAATTTCCACCTGCTTGGTCTCTGACCCCACCTCCAGTCTTCTTCTGGAGTCCCAGGCCCCTCCCAGAGATCCGCCTATCTCTGCGGGACCACTGTGAGTACCTGCTGGCATCTTCTACTGGATCCTCATCCGTGACCCCATCCCTGGGTCCCTGTCTGCGGAGAAACCTCTTAGAGAGCTTGGACCACACAGAGCTACAGATATTGAATCTCAGACCCACATAAGCCCATCGGGGAAGTACCATAGAGAGAGGGGAGAGACCCCACCAACACCTACTGGAAGAAGCTATGGGAAGAAGGCAATACAAGAGAACACCTAACAACAGAAAGACAAGCATGACACCACCAGAATCTAGGGAATCTACACCAACTAGAATGGAACACAAAAACAAAGCAGAGGAAGCAGAAGGGTACAACTTAAAAATTATCATCATAAAAATGATAGAGGCCCTCAAAGAAGATGTGAGAAAATCCCTTAAAGAAATGGAGGAAAAAAAACAAAAAAGTGGAAGAAATGAACAAATTCCTTAAGGAAAGTACAGAAAGCCAAGAAAAAACAATTAAGCAGGTGAAGGAAACAGTTCAAGACTTGAAAACTGAAATAGAGAAAATAAAGGCAACACAAACTGAAGGAATGCTGGAAATAGAAAAGCTGGGCAAAAAATCAGCAACTACGGACAAAAGCTTAACCAACAGAATTCAAGAGATAGAAGAGAGAATCTCAGGCGCAGAAGAAATAGATTCATCGACCAAAGAAAATCATAAATCCAACAAATCCTTAACACAAAACATTAAGGAAATGTGGGACACCATGAAAAGGCCAAACCTAAGAATAATAGGCATACAGGAAGGTGAGGAAGCCCAGCTCAAAGGTGCCGAAAACATATTCAACAAAATCATCGAGGAAAACTTTCCAAATCTGAAGAAGGACATGCCCATGAAAGTACAAGAAGCATACCGAATCCCAAATAGGCTGGACCAAAGAAAAAAGACCCCTCGACATATAATAATCAAAACACCTAGCATACAGAATAAAGAAAGAATATTAAGAGCAGCGAAGGAAAAAGGACAGGTAACATATAAAGGCAGACCTATCAAAATTACACCTGACTTCTCCATGGAAACCCTCAAGGCCAGAAGGTCCTGGATAGATGTTCTAAAAGTATTAAGAGAACACAGATGCCAGCCTAGGCTACTATATCCAGCAAAACTCTCAATCACTATAGATGGAGAGAACAAGATATTTAATGACAAAACCAGATTTTCCCAATACGTATCTACAAATCCAGCCCTACAGAAAGTATTGGAAGGAAAACTCCAACCCAAGGAAGGTAACTATGCCCACAAAAATGTAGGCAACAGATAATCCAACTACACCAGAAACCAAGGGTAAAGCAGAACTAATACATTCACAATACCACTGCCAACAACAAACCTAAATCAAACAAGCATCAACAATCAATGGTCCTTCATCACCCTCAATATTAATGGTCTTAACTCACCTATAAAAAGACACAGGCTAACAGAATGGATACAAAGACAGAATCCATCCTTCTGCTGCATACAAGAAACACATCTAAGCTTCAAAGATAGACATTACCTCAGGGTAAAGGGTTGGGAAAAGATTTTCCAATCAAATGGAAATAAGAAGCAAGCAGGCGTAGCTATCCTAATATCTAACAAGTTAGACTTCAAACCAAAATTAGTCAAAAGAGATGAAGACGGTCATTTCATTTTCATCACAGGAGAAATCTGTCAACACAAAGTCTCAGTTCTGAACATCTGTACCCCTAATACAAAGTCACCCACATTCGTAAAAGAAACACTACTAAAACTCAAAGCTCACATGACACCTCACACACTTATAGTGGGAGACTTGAATACACCACTCTCAACACTAGACAGGACCACAAATCAGAAACTCAACAAAGAAACAAAAGAATTAACAGAAGTTATGTCCCAACTGGGGTTAACAGACATCTATAGAACATTCCATCCAAAGACAAAATATATCTTCTTCTCTGCTCCACATGGAACCTTCTCTAAAATCGACCACATACTAGGTGACATGACAAACCTCAACAGATACAAGAGAATAGGAATAGTCCCCTGTATCTTATCGGACCACCATGCTTTAAAATTGGAATTCAGCAACAACACAAATAGCAGAAACCCTGCAAACTCATGGAAACTTAACAATGTGCAATTGCACCACTCCTGGGTCAAAGAAGAAATAAAGAAATTAAGGACTTTCTAATATTCAACAAGAATGAGGATACAACACACCCGAACTTATGG